TATGGTCTGGGAAATATCCCTGAGGATGTTTCGAAGACATTCCATCAAAATTTTGATCCTCTGCAGAGGGGATAGCACCCCCGCTTCGGTAGCCCAACGACCTGTCGCGAAGTCGACCACTTTACAGTAGAACAGTTCAACAGGGACCAATACCGCACAGACTCGGTCCCTACGAAGAATGATCCAAGTGGTCACCCACCTGCACACTGACCGCAGCCAGTGATGTTAGACATCAGTGATCTGCTGGGAACCGTGTCTTAACGATCAGTCCATTGCGGGACTGATCACATCTGAGAGACACCTATGTAAGGCTGGGCTATCCGCAACGTCTATGAAGAGGTACCATCTGATAGAGTCGAGTTAATAGATCTTATATACCAGTAAAGGAGAATTGAATAGTTGCGCTACATTGCTACCACTCTCCGATAGAAGTAGTAGTAATATCGGTTTGCCAGGGTGCCTGAGACCGAAGTGGCCCTTTCATGAGATAGGAATCATTGAGGTGACATAAATAAAGTTGGAGAAAAAATGAGCACATTTGCTCAGTAAAGTTCAAAGGACGAAATGGAAATCCGTAAAGGCAAGGGCTGCATGATGACGAGAAAAAGAGTTACGAGTAATCAGCAATCACGAAGTCAGCGTTTCTTTGCATCTCGCTGTTTAGATGATTACTTTTCTAAATGAGGTAGTTAAGGCCTGTTTACACGGTCCAAGTTCTTCGACGAAGATTGATTGAAATTGATGGAAACTTATTTTGCTTTGAGCTTGGATCGTGTAAACAATAATCCAAGTACTTAGTCCAAGTCCTTGGACGATAGTAGAACATTTTCTACTTTCCATCCAAGTTTTTTCTCTCTTAACCAATCAGCTTCTTAAGTTTTGTGACGTCAACAAGCAGGCATCACATTATGTCATTTTGTTGTCTGTTTTCATATATTTTAGCCCAAATAAATTAACCTGTCACGGTCTATTTCTGCTATTAAGATTTTATTTGAATTTATTTAGTAATTTTAAATTCATATAAGTATGATTTAATAATGTTGAATATGAACGTTGCGTATGCACAAATTTTTCTTCCGACCAATCAGAGACATTCAAGAACTTAGATAGTGTCGACGAATCATCCAATTTCTCGGAGAGAGAAATTCCTCCAATTTTATCTTAGAATTTATCTTCAAGGGATACCCCAAGTTGCGATAGCTGCTACGGACAAACGGGTTCTACCGCAAATGACCGCAAACTGTTTGACATTGAGCTATTTACCAATACCGAATACCGCCACAGAAATCACGTTTTTTGGTCAAAACCTCTACAACAATTCTCCACTGCCCGTTTACCAGGTGTGTTTGCATTGTCCGGCTCAGAAAACCACAACATCTTGAATTTCTATCATAAAAACGTTGATCAGTTAACGACTAGCAGGACTCCTGCATTCCACAATCTTGCATCATAAACACACGAAAAAAGAAGGAATCATATCGGCATCATGAGGTGGGCGGGTTCGGCTGGTAACTGGAACTAAATTCTCGATTAATCGGAAATTAATTTTTGAGGATTTATTTGGTCCGAATTCATGAATATTTGCACAAAACAAATGATGTTTAAATTTATTTTATTTTACAATCAAAAGTTTTACAAAAGTATTTATGTTTTGTTAATCTTATATTATTTCCGCTAACAAACAATAAACAATACCCAAAATATTTAACTTTTAAATACGTCTTCCTTTATTAAGTAATAAAGTAGCTCATTATAACGTCTGCAAAAACGAATATTAAAATATAAAAGATAAATAACACTAACTCGGTTTTAGCTGCTATTCGATAGATGTCCCGTTTAATTAAATCAATCTATTTTTGTATTAATTAATTTTTGGGGAATTTGTAAAATAAAACCTTAGGGGTATTTTTATAAATACCTTTACATTTTGATATTGTACACATATACGCTTAAAATTTATAAAATAATTGATATAAAGAATAGCGTAACAGAAAGCAAATGAAGCTGTTTTCCGTTCAATGACAAATATTTACAATTGGCAGTTACTGTTTGTGGTTTCACAACCTTGGTGATCTCAATTGTCTTATTTCTCGATGGCTATGACTACTATCTATGCTATCAGGCTATGACTACTATGATGGCTATGATCAGACTACTATGTTGTGGGGGGGAAATACGAAAGATCTCATTACGTTTGAACTACTAAAAGATGTCTTGTTTACGGTAATCCGTGCTATCGCTCTTCTAAGAGGTAATGGTTAGTTATGCAAACTTTATTATTTGGCCTAATATTTTACCGTTCTTTTTTTCAAAAGTTATTTAAATTCCATGCTTATGCTCAAAAAATATTAAGAACATTTTTAAAAATTAATTTAATAGTCGGATAGCCGCAATGGTTCAGTGGATAGAGGGGGATATTTCCGTATCGTGATCTGTTGTGCCAACTACAATTGCCAAGGTGACAAATAGATTTTAAATTTGCAATTTTTCAAAAAAAAAAAAAAAAAAAAAAAAAAAAAAAAAAAAAAAAAAAAAAAAAAAANAAATAAAAACAAAAAAAAAAAAAACAAACAAACAAACAAAACATGTAGATGTTTGCCCGGGGTTGGCTACGATCTAACCATTTTGAATTAGTCCTTTTGTGATGTCTTTTCTCGCAGACCGCTTCCCGGAAGTTATCAAGACTTGGCGATTATTCTGCCACAGATCAAGATGCTGAAATCTTCCAGAATAGAGCGTTCGCCTTCCAATGAGGTGAGCCGGATTCGAGTCTCTGCATTGGCTGATCGATACTGCACTGACCACAGTGCTGACGTGAAATATCCTCAGTGGTCGACGGATCATGGGTTAGAGTCCTCTTGCCATCAGGCTAACCGTGACTGGTTCTCGTGGCCTTGCTCTCCATGTAACGGAAATGCGAGATCGTTCCATCAGAAGTCTTTCACGAATGCAAATTTCTTTCAATACCTTATCCAGAAGTTCCCTTGTCTTCAGGATTGGGTTCAAAATAACAAGGCTACGTAGCTGAACATTAGTAGTTGTAAATTCAAAAATTGGGTCGACTGTTCAACGATGGTTATAATATAATGAAATAGACGGGAGTTTACATTATTCGTGGGACATCAACGAAGACCTTGATTAATAGTGTTAGTTGAGTTGAGTTTTGGTTGAAATTTCAAAGAATTCACCTAAAAAGACTAAGTTTTCCATTCATGAAACTATGCTAACTAGAAAAAATATCCTAGATTTTCTTCTTATTGCTTGGCAACCCGCACAAATAGCAAAACTACCGGCATTCTTCCAGAATTATTCCTAAAATGCTGCAAAACTAGCTACTCAGCTTGGAGAAAATGTTTGGTCTTTTCCTACCGAAAGACATTGGATGAAAATGTTCTTTGAAATTCTTTATTTAATGGCTAAAAACTAAAATAATTACTGGGTGAAGTGTTTCGAAAAGATTACTTAATTAATGTTTTGAAATTTCAGTACATTTATTCTAAAAACATCAAATAATAATGTTCAATAGTTAAAACCGGTAATAATATAAACATTTCAAAAGATTTATTTTAAATCTTATTATATGACAAACATCAACTAAGGTGGATGAATTATAATATTAGAGAAGAAAATTATATTTTTTAAAATAATCGATTTACAACTGTATGGTAGAGGGGTAGTAATGTAGATAAATGGAATATTCTTGTTATTTATCATTTGAAATTTCTTTCTCAACTTTGGCAAAACTATGTTTCATTTATATGCATATGATTGAGCAGATTAAAAAACCATCCTTTTTAATAATATTATATTATATTTCAATTTTATTTTAATTAACGAATAATGAGTTTAATGGAACAAATGTTTTCAGTTTACAATGTTAACAGTGTTTCCTTAAAGCAGTATTAAATGTGCCTTTTCTTTAAATACAAAGCCATCAATACAGACATATTTTTTTACAAAATAAAATGCTTTAAATAAATGTCTCATTAGGAAAATTTTTCTCTGATACAAACTTTGCATATGCTGAGCAATAATTAAACTTCTCTTAATTAGTTTTTGTTTAATAGTAAATCAGTGTAAAAACTTTAATAAAAACGTTATTTATTGAGAGTTAGCATTACAAAAAATTCCTGAAAAAATGCAACTGAATTAAAGTTTGTATTGCAGGGAAACAACACTAAAAACCGTCAATCTATATATTAACGAACTTCATAATTGGTGTGTACGTTTTCTTTATAAAATTTAGTTAATATGTGATTCATTTGTTTTATAATAATAATTTAATTATTTCATGAACCGTTTATTTTTATTTAATTATATAATAAATGTTATTTAGCTTTAATCAACCAGCAATTTAATAGTAAATCAGGGTGAAAACATTAATAAAAACGTTATTTATTGAGAGTTAGCATTACAAAAAATTCCTAAAAAAATGCAACAGAATTAAAGTTTGTATTGCAGGGAAACAACACTTAAAACCGTCATTCTACATATTAACGAACTTTATAATTGGTGTGTACGTTTTCTTTACAAAATTTAGTCCATATGTGATTCATTTGTTTTATAATAATAATTTAATTATTTCATGAACCTTTTATTTTTATTTAGTTATATAATAAATGTTATTTGGCTTAAATCAATAATCAATCAGCAATTTAATAGTAAATCAGGGTGAAAACATTAATAAAAACGTTATTTATTGAGAGTTGGCATTACAAAAAATTCCTAAAGAAATGCAACAGAATTAAAGTTTGTGTTGCAGGGAAACAACACTTAAAACCGTCATTCTACATATTAGCGAACTTTATAATTGGTGTGTACATTTTCCTTACAACACTTAATCCTTATTTGATTCATTTGTTTTATAGCAATAAGTTTATTATTTTATGAACCTTTTATTTGTATTTAATTATATAATAAATGATATTTTGCATTTTGTCTAAATTATAATTATACTTAAAAAGATAATTATGAATAAACAAATAAAATATAAAACTTACTTGCTACTGTTAGTTTTCTTTTAGCAGCCCTTCGTTCTTCATCTCTTGTTTTACGTTCAGCTCCCTGTATCAAAAAGATGGAAAAGAATCTAATTAACATAATAAGAAACTAATTAAGTTAACACTAATTAGCATAGCGTTAACTTAAAATTTACAAATACTTTATATTCAATACTTGGGAAGGCTTATATTTTAAGTTTACATAATTCAATATTTAAGAGTTCTTACGTTCTAGGTTTACATTTTATTCAATATTTAGGTAGGTTTAAATTTTATTCAATATTTAGGAGTGCTTAAATTTAAATTTTACACATTTTATTCAAAATTTTGGAATGCTTATGTTCTAAGGTTAAATTTTTTTCTAATATGTAGGAGTACTAACATTCTTGGTTTACAACTTTATTCAATATTTAGGAATGCTTGTATTAGAAGTTTCATTTTATTCAATATTAAGGAATACCTCTATTTTTCGTTTGCATTTTATTCAATATTTAGCATTGCTTAAATCTAAAAGATAGCAATTTATTCAACATTTAGAAGAGTTTTAAATCTAGAAGTAAACATTTTATTAGGAGTTCTACAAAACCAAAACTGTTCAGATGATGTTATTGTTTCACCCAAGAGCCATATTACAATGATGAGTTATAGGGTCATCGGGTTCATTTATTTCAAAAATATAATGACTTCTGCATATAACAGTAACATAAATAAACAAAAGTTAAATCTGTTTTGAACTCTGAACTTTCATGACTATAAAGAAAAACAAAATATTCGGTATAATCAAGAGATTAAGTTGATATACTAATATTTAAGCACTTAATTATATTTCAATTGGTTGAATTTGATTATCTTATGGATGAGGATATATTTCTTATCATGACATTTATTGTATCAATAACTTGCCTTTTATGTGAGCTATGTTGGGCATTAAAAATTAACTTTGCGTAATCATGCAAGGTTATTAAATGACTTAAACTATAAATTTGAGAGGAAAAAAATAGTTAATTTTCATCCTTTTAATATCAATAATAAAATCTGACTAATTAATTTCGTACATTAGTTTTTTAATTACTATTTTCTAAATTAGTTATTTTAATGCTGCATGTACTAAAACTAATTATCTGAACATAATATAAGTAACAACAATTATTGAAAAAGATGCCTTAAATTAAAAATAGAAGGAAAACGCCGGTTTTCAGATTACGATATTTGCATATGTAATATTTACGTCATGTTCATGAGCAAAATGTAATAAATTACAAGTAATTTATTCCAGAAATTATATATTACATTTGTAATTAGTAATAATTACATAATTTGTAATAACTAGAGGTAATAAATAACAATATAGTTGAAATTGTGAATAATTAGTAATTGCAAACGAAGTTAGTTTTTACCTACACTTATAGTTACAATTATAAACACAAACTATGATTGCTTAGAATCGCCATTATAATTTTCATCATGGATTGTGATTGATTATAAACACTATTACTATTGTAATGGTAAATTCTGATTGCTTATAATTACGATTATAGTTTAATCGTAATTAATGATGACTCAGTCATATTTCACGCTCTTACTTTAAGAGCTTTAAATTTATTCAGCTGCCACTTTTGTCGAGTCATGTCTGCTGCTGTATTAAATTAGAGCTTTTTGATTTAGAAAGGCCCTTCACGGAATAACTTTCGTTCTAATTATCGGATTTTCACGAACTAAGTGTTAATTGTTTCAGGGAGTAACTTCAAATATGCTACTTAATTAGTGCTAACTATTAAGTTACGAAATCAGCCACAAAAACGTACTTTCTCTGATTGAACATATAATTTTTCTACATATTTAGATTCCTCAAAATATGGGGGTAGACATTGGGGGAGATCTGATGTCATTAGTGTGGATATTAATCGAGCGGAGATTTGGCCCACAGAAATCAATTCTAGTGTAGTTATCAGCATACGGTCTTGATGTCAAACGAGCATCACAGTCCGGATGTCAAATGGACATACTTATACGGATATCAAACTGATATACGCGGGCCATATCTCCGTACTGTTGATATCATGGTGACCATTTTTTACATAACAGGCAAAAGGACAAAAGAAAATGTTTTATATGTGCTACAAATGTTGGAGGTAATCTTTGAAAACTCGTTACTAATAATTTCTTTTACAACCTTAAAAAAAAAAAAAAAAAAAAAAAAAAACTCTATCATTGTTTTTTTCAATCGTTAAAAAAACTTATATTTCATATAGCCTAGTAGTTGTATGCAATTATAGATTTAAAAAATTATAATTCTATAAAAAAATATTTGATATTAGGAAAAAATGCCTTTCTCAAAGGAGACTTAATTTGAAAATACTTACTCTTTGATCTTTATTTCACATTTAAAGTAGTTGTGATTATTATTGTGATTTACTATTTGATATTTATTTCACATTTAAAGTAATTGTGATTATTATTGTGAAATTAGTATAATAAAAGCGATTAATATACAGAAGATTTGGAATTTTCACATTGATGACCAATTAGATAGTAAATAAATTTTTAGAGTTTCATTTTTCTGTGAATAAATAGTTAAATATCATATTCTTATGCTTTAAAATTAGTTTTAAGTGTTAATATTCATATTGTCAATGTTTTTTTTTTAATCGTATTTTTAGCTTTAATGAGGTGTGTAGGCAAAATCAATTTTTAGTTTTGTGTTATGAAGATTATCTACTGTAGTTATTTCATATATTTCCCCCTTTTTTTAAGCTGATTAACAGTAATAAAATGTTAATATTATTCATGTTGATAGGAAAATACTAGCATTGAGGAGACAATTCCACAAACGCCTGAGCCACCAAGATTGATAGCGATTGGCACAGAGAGTGCCTACTATGTATATGCCATCCCCATGTTTACAATGAATTAAGCTGTCATTTTGATTCTGGTGACTAACTGGATTTTTAATATAGAATTTCTTTCTTATTGAAAGAAAAGTTTTCCGTTAAAAAGTATCTTCTGTTAAAAAAAGTTTTCTGTTAAAAAATTTCTGTAATTTGCAAAAATATGATGTGGTTGTTGGATTGCTTAAACGATTAAAATTATATATAAATTTCAATACAAATTAAATGAGATATTATATGCTTTGTTTTTTTATGCATATCCTTGTTCTTGTATATCTTTTTTATTGAAACAAAATCCTCAAGAAAAAAATTTTCTAATTTTTTTTCAATTTCCCACTCATGTTTGCACTTTATAAATGCTTTGTGTACCCTTCTCTCAGGTTCTAATCAAAATTAATCAATAATTCTTTTCTAAAAGGTTGAAGTTTTCGATTATATTTTGTGTTTACTGTTTTTGAAATTTTATTTTGAACAAAGATTCAAAACATCAAGGATAATAAAAGACTCACAATTAATTTTGCCCAGTAATGTGGGAGATAAATTTTCAAGCAATTTTGTAAAATATGGGGATATTCTTATAGCAATTTGTTTTTAAATTAAGATCCAAAGCAATCTAAATATGATAGAGAAAATTCCAAACATAACTGAGAAAATTATAAAATTTATTATCAGTTAGAAATTGAGCTTAGTGGCATATTTTTTAAATTTAAATAATTTTTGGACGTACATATATCTAATGCTACAATTTTATTGTGATGTTTTAATAAGTAAATGAAACTATAAGTTCATCAATATTTATAATAAATTCATAATAACTAAATGTGCCAAGAAAGATATTTAAATGTATCTAAATTGTATGTGGAATTCATCCTAAAACAAGTTATTAAAAGCACCCAAATTGAGAATTGTGTCAAGAAAAATATGCTTAGGATTGTGCAAAGCAGGTGTCAACATAGCTTTTGATTGATTACTTTAATAACCACTCTTATTTAAATCTCATTCAGTAAAATAAAATGATTTCTTCAAGATTTCTATTACCATTAGTGGTGACATACTGTTACAATTATCTCTACTCTTAGAAAAGCTCTTTTGGAATAGTTTCTGAGTAATAAAATGTCCAAAAAGTCGTTATTTAAATTTCTGAAAAGCTATTTCATAGTTTGACGTTCAAAGTCACACAGTTTAAAATGACAAAAAATTTACATGCTTTACAATTTAAAATGCTACTACTACTATTAAAAAACTAATCAAAAAATTTAAAAAATTTATTTTTTCTAAAAAACTGTCTTTGGGCAAACGAGTTTTATAAGTGAGTGCCAGAATTTTTTGATTAACGTATTTAGTTTTAGAGGTATGATATGAGAGGTAAGGTAAATACAATAAGTTAAATTAACACCAAACGACCCGACCCCTCTCTTTACTAAACTAATGGATTTTTCAGATTGCGGCAGCAAACTTTTTCAGAATTTTTCGTGTCTGATTGCTTAACTTAATTAATAATTATCAAAAATTAATTAGCGTGTATTATTAGCTTATTTTGGCCCCTTAAAGTTTAAACCATTAAGCTTCATATTTAGCATTGGGAAATCTAATCACTGATTTTCCGATATTTATTGATACTTGATTGAAACTTGATTATTGAATCAAATATTATGTACGAAAGCGGTGATAAAATGTCTGTTAATATCTTGTGATACAACCAAGGATGCCAAATTATAAATAATGCCTCATTCAAATGTATCATTTATTATTTTCTAATATATAATAAAATATTGGATTTAATTACATATCAGAAAATAAGAAATGATACATTTGAATGTGAAAAAGTTTTGATGTCTGAACAATGAGAAATCCACTTAGCCTCCGATATTTATTGATACTTGACTGAAACCAACTAATTATTGAATCAAACATTATAAACGAAAGTGGTGATAAAGTGGTTTGTTACCATCATGTGATACATCCAAGGATGCTATAAATACTTATTAATGGCAACTAAATTATTTCGATGTAGAATCGTTAAATTTGTTATCCAAAAGAAGCGAAGGTTATCCCCAACTCAAAGCTTTCCATTTTATGACTGCGTATTTGCAACTTAAAATGGAACGTTTCTAACTTTTTCTCGACCTCATAATGTCTTCAATACTTCGGAAATTAACGTGCTACTTGACCTCGA